TTACAATACAACATTACATCGGATAGTATTCAAAAAACGAATAAAAGCTAAAATCTTATCCGTTATGTTATCGAGTCTGTAAAGCTTATCATATCCACTCTTGAGGCTTAATAATGGCTACGACCACAGTAATATCGTCATACTTTCCACCGAGATATTTATATCCCGCCTGCAGGGCCTCGATTTGGAAAGGAGTACAAGCAAACGGATCGGTAGCTTTTTCAAGAGCAAAAGTCGCAATTTCCTCAGCCAAAAGCTCGGGTTCGGTACCTACTAGCAATCCCTGAAACACCATTGTTTCCAATTCCCTCTCGTGCACATTGTCGAACAATCCATCAGTCCCTGCAACAATAACATCACAGGCTTCGACCCTACACTTAAACTCCGCTGCAACGCTCGGGGAATCCGATTCTTTCCCCAATTGATATGGATTATTAAACGCATTCGTCTGTATCGGGCTACTAAACACGACTTTACCATCTCGAATAAGCACAAATTTACTATCTCCCACATTGGCACAATGGAGAAATTCTCCTTGTAGAGTTATAATACAAGCAGTGGTAGAACCTTGCGAATCTGTAAACCTAAAAGCTTCGGTTAAAGCGCGTTTTGGATTCACGATACCATTCTTTTTCTTCTCATTCCGAACAGAAGTCGCTACATTGGACATTAATTCGCGCGCATATACGCCGGCGTCTATGCCATGCTTTGCCCAACCGCCTACTCCGTCCGCCACGCCGATCGTCTTCTCCGACTCGCTAATGAAGTAGGCATCGTCCCCATTAGGCTTCGAGGGATTATCCTTTGGTATGTAGAATGCTGCAGGAATCATCTTCAAGTCACTTGCTGTGCAAGAAACAGTTTCTTGATCGAAAAATAACGATCGAGTCGACCCTGACCAATCCATGGAAACCATTCGTGTATCAAATTGAAACAGAAATATATATTTTGATTCAAGAAAAACCTTCTCGATTGGAGTTTTTAAGGAGGTTTAAGAAAAACTGTACACAAGTTTTATGTTTGAATCCCATATATATAGCAGATTACTGAGGACTAATCCTACCTGAAAAAGGAAAGGGAAATTTAATTTTTTTTTATTTTTTTATTTTTAAAAACAGTTGAATCTTTATATGGAAAGAAGAAAAGAGAAAAGAAAGGAAATAATTTGTTTATTACCATATTCCTACTTACGGAGTTTAACTTGGAAAGGAAAATTTTAAACTGATGGAAAAGAGCCGTTGGAAGTCCTCTGAAAGATTAGTTTCATAACTCAAACTGCGTTTAACGTACTTCTTTTCTTAATGATTTTCAAATTTACTTTGTAAAAATGTAAATTTTAATTTCCAAAAAAGTAGGGTACTTTCATATATGGTTATTGTTAATTTAGTTTAAATTTCATTGTTTCTTTCTTATGGTTTCTCAAATTGATGAAAATTACTTAATT